GTTCTCAGTAGTGACAGATGGTAGAACAAGGAGCAATGGTCTCAAGTTGTGGTGGGAGAGGTCCAGGTTGGATATTAGGAAAAAGTATTTCACTAGGAGGGTGGTGAAGCACTGGAATGGGTTACCTAGGGAAGTAGTGGAGTCTCCATCCCTAGAGGTGTTTAAGTCTTGGCTTGACAAAGCCCTGGCCGGGTTGATTTAGTTGGGATTGGTCCTGCCTAGAGCAGGGGGCTGGACTAGATGCCTTCTGAGGTCTCTTCCAGTTCTATGAAAGGTGGCCTCACTAGTGCCGAATAGAGGGGAATAATTGCTTCCCTTGATCTGCTGGAAGTGCTCCTACTAATGCAGCCCAATAGGCCATTAGCCTGCTTGGGTCCTTGCTCAGGAGACACCCCAGTAGCCAAAAAATATAACTGCAAACAAAATGCCAGCAGCCTTTGACGGATCAGCTGGATGCATGAGACTCCTCCTGAGATGTGGGCATGTATGACATGGTTGCCAAATGTGTATCTGTCACCATCATATGGGAGACATCTGGAAGTTGGACACGGCATATCTTGTTTGTGGTGTGAAGATTTAAAAGAGGGAAAATTCTGAAAAGGAAGTTAATGTTGTAGAGAAAAACACAGTTGAGACACAGGAGGACAGGGATGACTAGGGCTTGTAATTTTTTAAAAAAGCTCTGATGCTTTGAAACAAAATATACATAAAAGACCATATTTTTAGAGGTGTTGAGCTCTTACAGCTATGAATTAAGCTTCTGAGGGTTCAGCGTCTCTGAAATCTGGTCCAAATACCGGATGATCATTCCCTTCTAACATCCAGAAAACTGCAGACAGAACACAAACCTGGAAGTTGGCAATAACGCAAAGTCCAAAGCAGCTTATCACTCCGAGTGTAAAGCCAGCCTTATTTAGTCTGGTGATCTTGGATTCCCTTGGATTCAGAGCATAAACCTGTTTATAGCGAACATACACGGTAGCAATACCTGTGAACAAACAACCCAAAAGCATTGAGGCTTAAGTAAACAAGGAGACTGTTCTTGTCAACTGTAACATGGTATGAGGCAGAAGTAATTGACATTTAAAAGGCAAAAATTAAATTAGTGTGACATTAAGGCAGAGGTGGGCAAAAGGGTTGCCATGGGCCGCATCCAGTCCACGAAGCGAGGTGATCTGGCCAGCGGAGGCCCTGCCATTCCCCCCACGCCCCAGGCCAATCAGGACTTGGGGCTGGAGGGAAGTGCGCAGTCTCCTCCCACCCTGCGAGGGATGCGGTGCTTTTGAGCACTGCATGCTCCTTGCAGTACAGGAGCAGGGCGGAAGGAGACTCTGTGCGCTCCCCCACCCCAGGCCAATCAGGTCTTGGGGGCGAGGGGAGCGCAGGAGGAGACTTCTCCTCCAGCCCTGCAAGGGGCTCAGCACTTAAAGCTGGCAGTTGACTCAAAGCGCGGCACTCCCTTGCAGGGCGGGGACAGGGAGCGAGAGACTTCACATGCTTCCCCTCCACAGGCCCTGACTGACCTAGGGGCAGAAGAGGGAGCACGTGAAGTCTCCTCCCACCACCAGGGGCATGGATATCTAGAAGGAACTGCCAGCTGTTCAGAACAGCTGGCTGTTCTCATTGGGAGGGAGGGGCAAAGACTTTGCATGCTCCTCTACCCCCAGACCAATCATGGTCTGTAGGTGGGGAAACACGGAAGTATTCTGGTCCCGCACCTTCTGCCTGAGGCCCTGTCCCTTCTGGGACAAAAATGTCTGAAGTGGTCCCTAGTCAAAAATTATTGCCCACCCCTGCATTAACCCCTGGTCTGTACTAATGAGGTAAATTGATCTCAATTACGCTCATAAAGGTATGTAAGTCAAGTGACTTAAGATGGCTAGACTTACTGCCATGTCTACACCACGCTATGTCAACGGATGCTCTCCCACTGACATAGCTTCCACCTCTCGAGGAGGACTACTGAAGTCAACTGGAGAGCACTCTTCCATTGACTTATCATGTTTTCCTCAGACCCACTACACTGAAGTCACTGCATCAATCACAGCAGTGCTAATCTAGCCAGTAGCAAAGACAAGCCCTAAGAAAGCAAAGAACTCAAGTAAGGAAATAAAGTGAAGTGATGGAAATTATTTGAAAAAAGGAATGCGGGGTTTGTGATCCCAGCTTAGATTAAACTGATTTTTAAACACATGTTTACACAGGGCACAGTTAAGGATATTCACATATCCTAAATGTGAATTTTCATACCTTAACATGTCTTGATTTCTTTTAAGCTTACCCTTACCTATGAACACAACTCATTGTTTTTAAACTCTTAGGCTACGTCTAGAATGCAAGCCTCTTTTGAAAGAGGCTTTTTCGAAAGATACTTTTGAAAAAGCTTCTTTCGCAAAAGAACATCTAGACTGCACTCTCTTCTTTCGAAAAAGTGAGCCGCTTTTTCAAAAGAGAGCACCCAAGCAGTCTGGATGCTCTCTTTCGAAAAAGCCCTGTTTGCATTCAAGAACACCTTTTTTCGAAAGAGCACTTTCGAAAAAAGGCGTTCTTCCTCATGAAATGAGGAGTACCGCCGTCGAAAGAAAAGAAAGAAATTAACTATTTAATTTTGAAAGAATGCGGCTGTGGTCTAGACACAGGAGAAGTTTTTTCAAAAAAAGGCTACTTTTTTCGAAAAAAAAAACCACTGCAGTCTAGACACAGCCTCAGAGGGGTAGCCGAGTTAGTCTGTAACTTTAGAAATGAGTAGTCCTGTAGCACTTTAGAGACTAACAAAAATATAGATATAGTATTATGAGCTTTTGTTGTTTTTAAAGTTATACACCAACACGGCTGCGCTCTGAGTTTCCTGCACTAATAAATGCTTGTTTTGGGGAGCAAAACCCTATAATTCATTACAACAACCCTATAATTACAACAACCCTATAATTCATTTCACCCTAAATAACAAGAGCCCGATGTATATACAAAATTTGTATCCTTGTCTACATCTGTATCTGTAAAAACTAGCTGTGCATCTCTGCATCCACATCTGTGGATGTGGGTACCCGTGGATATAAAGTGGATAACCATGGATTTTCAGGGCTCTATAAATAACTGATCTGTAGTCTCAGCTTCATACTCCTAATGTAGCTTTTTGCCTGGGATCATGGGTATTTAGAAATAATGCAACTAACTTAGCTCTTCTGTTTAATAACTTATATTCCAGAAGTGCTTACAATGTGCTAGAAATCATTTTATCTACTTACCTAAGAAAGTGGAAATATTTAACATAATCCCAAATAAGCATCTTTCAGGAGGTATTGTCCCTGTGTCACTGTAAGAAAAACAGTACATGAAATATGGTTTTACATCATGTAGTGTAAATTAGTGAAAAGTTTTCTTTGCTAATTTAACTTTGTAGAGCTTTGTGCAAAGGCCAGCATGAGGCCTTAGAGCTGCTTAAATTCCTTGAAGCCCTATTTTGAGGACCAAAGTAGGAATTAAGTGGAACAAAGGCCTGGCAATGGCTTTCCACATGGGGTGAATTGCGTATTATGTGACTAACAATGTTATAACACTCTTAACAGGAACTAAAAACTGTGGGCTTAAAAAAAAAAGCCTGAATCAGAAGTTAACACTGAAATTGGCCTAATTGAAAGTAAAGCACATGACACAGATGAGAAATACACTAAGGAATATAAAATTATAGAACACCAGAACTGGAAGGGACCTTGAGAGGTCATCGAGTCCAGCCCCCCACCCTCATGGCAGGACCAAGCACCATCTAGACCATCTCTGATAAATGTCTATCTAAACTGTTCTTAAATATCTCCAGAGATGGAGATTCTACAACCTCCCTAGGCAATTTATTCCAGTGTTCAATATGAGAGATTAGCAATAAATATACATTCTGGAATTCCCAGAAAACTAACTCTCCCTAAGATTTGTGCTGGAAAGACAGAATTATTTGTAATTTGCACATAGCATGATACCTTTTCTAATAAAGGTAGTTACAACTCATCTCTAGCAGCTCAATAGTGAGCAAATCAATTTGTGAAGGCTGTCAGTCTGCCCACCAACTAGAGAAAGCATTAGAGAGAGAATATGACGGTAGGTTCAGCCATCTGAAGGAAGAGGGCAGCAGAGGCACATGCAGGCCCTTAATACTTCTGGAGAGATGTTAAATTCTGTGATTGCACTTAATTATCAAAACTAACATCTACCCATTGCTGTCTATGACACTGCACCAGCAACTGATTTTAGTTAAACATATTAAAACCAAAGAGGAAAAGTCCATGTTTGAAATGAATAGGCCATATTGTCACAGATCACGGGTTCCCAACCTCAAGATTGCAATCCTGCGGGGAGGAGGGAAAAGCTGTAATCACCCTGCCCTTCCCATATGGCTAGAAAGCAGAGTGTGTCCAGATAAGTCCAAGTGCAGTAAAAGCAGAGAGTTGGCATCACAGATCAAGAACTTTGGATTCAGATATTTATTCTATGGCTCTGTGCCTCCAATTATCCAACATTTCTAGTGATCACTAGTACACCCTATATACTGTAATGACCCTAACACAGGCCATGAAAAGTTTAAAATGTAAATGTTTGCATATGTTCAAAAAAAAGTAAATGTACAAGTGTTGGTTTTAACAAATATATATATAAATATAAATATATATATATATATATATCATATTCATTTAATGTTAGAACTGTTAATCCCAAAGCTATACACTTTAAACTAAAATTTTTGAAAAGTTGGAGGGAACATTTGCATAAAAAAGAAACAACTAGCCTGGCATGAATACTGTGATATGGTTAACAATGCACCACTTAGTTTTTACTGACCTGATGTAGGGCACCAAAGGGTCGATGTGACGTAGAACAACTGCAGTAATGTATGAAAATATGAAAGAAGCAGCTGACCAAACAACCAAAGCCGAAGGCAAGAAACAGAGGCCTTGCTGAAACCACCACATTGCAGCACTGTTTCCCACGTCCAAATATTACGAAGAATCAAATATGCAAAAGATTTTTGGTTTTCTCTCCTTGAAGCCAAAGAGTTAAACATGCAATCTTCATATGTATCCTGTTATAAACACCCACAGTAAGACAAGACAGATTGTATTTAGAATCACTGTTATTGAAAGCACAACTGGAGACTTACAGGAAGTCACTGCTCTTAGTGAAAAACAGAAAGCGAAAAACAGAAGTTTATTTTGGAAACTTTCATATTACAACTCACAGAAGAAAACTCGAGAAAACACTGTCATTTTAGTGCCCTAGTGTCTGCTTCCTAAGATGCATCAAGAAGGCCACTGTGTTCTGATTCTTTCTCTTCAACTCTATTTGTGTATCAAATCCCATCCAGGGATCAGGGAGTATAGCATGTACAGAATATTCCTCAATAACAGTTTTATAACAAAGGAAATTAAAGCTTCTACAACTGCCATTAACAAAACTGGGCATATTTACAAAGTATATTGACAATGCAGAAATATTAGTAACTCTTTCACTTATCGAGCACATTCCATCTGAAGACTTTATAACCTCACACAAATCACTAAATATGTGCATAGATTTCTTTAGACAAAAGCTGGCTGATGCCATCCAGAACCTCCAAAGACAACCAGTCTAGCTGCAGGGGCAGTTCTGTTTGCACACCTAGTTAGGTAAGTGCATGATGCTGTGTTTATACATCTACCCAGTTTTGAAAATCCAACCCTCAAAGTGAGTTTACCCTTCATACAGAGGAATGCATACAGGCACTATGTGCAGCTGGGTCACCCCCACAGGAGTGCAGTGAAGGAATTATAATGCCTCCCTTGCTGCTAAGAATAGAGCCCAGTTCTACTAAATCACTGTCTTGTGCTGTAACCACAAGACCAATCTTACACTTGAGAAACAAAGTGATAGAAATGCAGCCCTGTTAGTCTGGTCTAGACAGAACTATGTAGCACTTTAAAGACTAACAAGATGGTTTATTAGGTGATGAGCTTTCATGGGCCAGACCCACTTCCTCAGATCAATATGTGGAAGAAAATTGGCACAGAACCCAAACCACCAAAAAAGAAAAGCAACTTTTTGGTGATACAGGCAGTCCCCAGGTTACGTACAAGATAGGGACTATAGGTTTGTTCTTAAGTTGAATTTGTATGTAAGTCGGAACTGGCTCCAGATTGAAACTGACCAGGAGCTGACTACAGGAAGCTGGAGGCAGAATTGCTCTGCCCCCAGCTTCCTGGAATCAGCCACTGATCAGTTTCAACAGCGGCTGAATCTTGAGTCTGGGACAGAACAGCTGGGCTGCCAGGTAGGTCCCTGTAGGACCAACCCGGCAGCACCCCAGCTCCTCTACCCCAGGGTCCACAACAAAAGCATGGTCTGCTGGGGGGGGTGGGGTGCACTAGCTGCGCCCCCCCCCCAGCAGACCAGGGACACGGGGAGCAAAGCTGCAGCGGCAGCGGGGTCCCGCGCCTCTGAGGCTTTGCTCTGGCAAAGCCTCAGAGGCGCGGGACCCCGCTGCCGCTGCAGCTTTGCTCCCCGTGTCCCTGGTCTGCTGGGGCGCCTCCCCGGCTTTGCTCCAGGTGTCCCTGGTCTGCTGGAGACGGTCCCCAGCAGACCAGGGGCACCCGGAGCAGCTTTCCTCGCCCTGGAGGTCGAGGTGGCGGGACCGCTGCGCTCTGGGCAGTCCCGCTGCTTGCGAGCTCCGGGGCGAGAAAGCCCCGTTTGTAAGTGCAGATCCGACATAAGTCGGATCCGCGTAAGTCAGGGACTGCCTGTAGTCTCAGATCATGAAAATGAAAATGCATCAGTCCGCACTGCTTTGGATCACTATTGAGCATAACCTGTCACCAGCATAGAAGCATGTCGTCTGAACAGTTAAGTTAGGTTAAAACCCAAAAACAAAACAAAGCAAAAAAAAGTTTAAAAAGTTCAACATTTGTAAGTTGCTCTTTCACGATTAAGAGAATGAAACAGTACTTGTATGAGGTGAACTGAAAAATACTATTTTGTTTATCTTTTTTACAGTGTGAATATTTGTAATAAAAATATTACGCACGCTTTCCTTTGTGTTTGCAATTAAAACTGCGACTATTTTTTAAATTTTGTGATTAATTACTATTTTTAATAGTTCAATAGCCCTAATTAGAGCATTAGAAGACCCCACAAAGAAAAGTATCAGTGTAACAGGAGAATAAGATGTCAGATAAGTGTCTTAGGCTTATAGATTTCAAGGAGAGAAGTGAATCATGAATCATCCACTATTGGGAGTGCAGTCATGGCAGTGTAAGGTGAGACGGGCAAGACAGAACAAAGGCAAACAAGGCAGTGTAGAGGTGCGGGGTGGAGCAGGGCAGTGTAGGGCTGTGAGGCAGGTGGTGTGGGGCAGGGTAGTGTAGGGCTGTGGGGCAGAGGGTGTGGTGTGGGGCAAGGCGGTTTAGAGTGAATCATGAATCATCCACTATTGGGAGTGCAGTCATGGCAGTGTAAGGTGAGACGGGCAAGACAGAACAAAGGCAAACAAGGCAGTGTAGAGGTGCGGGGTGGAGCAGGGCAGTGTAGGGCTGTGAGGCAGGTGGTGTGGGGCAGGGTAGTGTAGGGCTGTGGGGCAGAGGGTGTGGTGTGGGGCAAGGCGGTTTAGGAGTGTGGGGCAGGGGGTGCAGGGCAGGGCAGTGTAGGGGTGTGGGGCAGGGGGTGTGGGGCAGGGCAGTGAAGGGGTGTGGGGCAGGGGCTGTGGTGTGGGGCAGTGCAGGGCAGGGCGGGGTGGGGCAGGGCAGGGCAGGCTTGGGCTGGGGTGTGGGGC